GTGTCGTTCAGTTTGACACTTAATCTCATTCGAATTTGGCATGTTCGAAACTAGAACTTCAGAGAAGAGTCGCACAAAAATAAACGGGGGATATCTGCGCCTAGCCATCCATAATTTTGAACTGATAGAACGGAAACTAGTCATCTGCACCCACAGCTAACTCTTAGACTACTCTTTATGGACCTTATAGTAAGAGTTGACTGTCAGTCCCATATTAGCGCATCCACGGTAAATATCCTTAATTTGGGAAATTGAGTAGCGAAAAGGTAAACAGTCACAGCACCCATCGTAGGTTGGGCTTGGTCTGCTTTTGAAGCGAATAAGAGAGTTAACTGTCAATGTTATAATGCACCCACAAATGAGAATGTTAAATAGTATCGCAGCTTCAAAATTGAACCCTCCATTAGGCCACTTTTATCCTGTCACCCTTAATGTACCTCTCTGTAGCATGAGTCATAAAGGTTGTTTACTGCTGCTTCAGGAGATAGCTGTATTCTATTCAAAGCCACATTCAGTGTAAGGTTTCTTTGATGAGTGTCGCAAGTGGTAGATACAGATCCAGAATTTTGGGATCCAATTTCGTACTTGGTGAACTATTAAAAAGAGTGTGGATTAGGACTGCAGTTTTTGCGTTTTCAGACATATAAAACGTACCAATACTAATTATGAAGTCTTGTTCATGTTTTCCACTCGAGATTTAGTAGGTGACTGTGTGTGTGTTCTGCCTTCCATCAATAAACATTCATCATTTTTAAACTCATATTTGTAATATAGTTTCTTTTCTCGAGTCTAAGTAAAGCCCTTCTTTCTGTTTAATTTCAGTGAGCTACTACAACATCAGTTTCTGCTATTAGACAATCAATCATTTTTCTGCTTCTTGATTTTCGCCATCTTCACACAGGAGCTTTCATCTTTCATACAATCGGCGAAAAGTCGTTACATCTGTCCTCTAACGTGTAACATCTGTGGGCTTTTCATTGTTGGAATGATTAGGTAACTGTATGATTGATTTGCTTCAAACCATGAAACACCACAGTACGACTGTTTATCATATATGAAATCAAGTATTTGTTCTTCTAGTTTCCATATATATTAGACTTGATAGTTCACTTACATATTTAAAAAATCAGGGTTTACAACCTGTTGTACAAAATCCTAGAGCATATAATTATCACAGTTGTAATAATCATGTTGAAATATCACGCATGATCTAAAAAGCCTTTTGTAATTTTATTCATTTTCAGTTTCATATATTATAGTGGAATTGCACTCAATGTGTTTAAGGCTGCTGAAGAAGTTTTCACTCAATTCCCATTTAACCTCTTTTTCGTTTCTTTTTCTGTATCGAAGTTATAGCTAAGCAGGATATTAGATTCATACATAAAATAGCGCTTATAATGCTCAATGCAGGGTTCTTTTCCACGTAAGTATTGGATCTTATAGTTCTTCGGCCCAAGCTGCTTGATAACGAACTACACGAGGCAATTCAATTACCGCTGAGCTTGTGAGTTGGACGATGATAAAATGATAACCATATATTCGACTGTCATTGGCTTCATTTGGTATGGGACTTGCTGCACATAAAATGTTAGTTCTTGTTCTCATGCATAAAAAAGTGGCTTTACCTTCTATAGCACGATCAATAAGTATGCTAAATTATCATGCCAAATATTCTATGCACCACCGATAAGTTCGTAACTCAATAAGAAAGTGAAGTAATTATTTCTAAAACATCAGCTATTGATTATACAATAGTCACAGGTCGTATGCATCCTTCAGAAGTATTGATGAAGAAATTCACTTCTTCCAACACATGAACGTTCCCTCACTCAGCCTTTGGACGAGGACTAGCAAGATTCAACATGACGTTATCAATCTAGAAACCGGGTTTCAATACCCGTGGTGGAAAGAGCACAGATAACCCATTGTGTAGCTTTGTACCTAACTTCAAACAAACAAACCTTTTTTGTTTATATAAAAAAGTAGTACGTGTTGTTTCAAAATACATTATCTAGGAAATAAGATGTTTTCGCCCGGGATCGAACCGGGGACCTTGCGCGTGTGAAGCGCACGTGATAACCGCTACACCACGAAAACTGATATATCATTAATATTATTGGATTTTAACTAAACTTTTATCACTTTACAAACTTGTGAGGGTTTTTCTTTTCTCTCTCTTTAGCGTTCTCTAAGGCGCTGGAAAACCATTGTTGTATTTGTCAACCTCTTTACGTATCATCAATATCGCCCTTGAAATATAATTTCCGAGAGCAGTTGACGTTTTCTATAATAATAAGTTTAACTTGTTTTTCCTCTTGGATTAAAGAGAGCGCTTCAAATGATAAACATAGAAATCGAATAGTCTTAGACAAATATTTCTTACGATTCCATTTCATTATTCGCAATGAAATGTATTGATGTAGCAAAAATATCACAAAAATAGACAAATAAAAATAGAAAGTGTTGCAGATGCTAAGACTCCAGTTTGGAGAGGCATTATCCTGCCGGAATAACATGTTAATAACATCTGCCAGTACTCCATGTGTTATAACTTTTAATTTATTAACTCTGCCACCGAAGGTGGACGGAGGTTATGTTTTCACCCCTGTGTTTGTCAGCAAGATTTCTCGAAAACGACTTTTCGTTGATATACATTTGGACTATGATCCAACTTAGAAGTTATAAGTTTTTGGCAAGTCAAGGTCATGAAAATCCGAAAAATCCCTATATGTGAACGTGAGGACTGATTTTTACCTTATTTTTGCTCTATAACTCAGTCAAGAATGAGCGAATTTTGATTTAACTAGGTGGACCTATGTAGAATATTATTCCTCATTGTTCTGCCAAAATTGATGTCCGTGTCCAGACACATTTTCTTATTCTTTTAGAGCCAAATATGATCAACGCTGCATGGCGGAGGTATGCGTTTTACTGAGTGCCCCTCTAGTTTATACATTTGATTGTTTTTAAAGTTGGCTTGAGGACAAACGAAAGACAAAGAGGAATAGGATATATGGACTAAGTAATGACTATGTTTTATCTCATGCTTAACTTATTTCTAGACATAAACACATTTGTAGGGTATATATAATTTCACATGTAGGACAATCTACCTTTCACAGTGTCTTTATTTCGTGTGCTGGTTATACACATCAAGAAATGTATTCCACTTTGGTATTATTAGATTTTCTTCCTGACTGTGTTATTGGAGATTTGTTTGATCTTGTATCTATAAACATACCAAATTGTGAGTTTGGAAATAACTAGGGCTATGGCCTCCATATTTTCATCTATAGAGTGGCAATGACATGAGAACCATACGAACTTTTGCACAGTCGTCCCCGTTCATTCAAGTTTCTAGAGGTTAGATCTTTTAGGCTAGATTTGTTTGTTTGTTTTGGAATTTTGCGCAAAGCTACACGAGGGCTATC